GCATCCCATCAGGACCCATAATGTTTGCATGAAGTGTAAATGAAATGGTAAATAGAATAACAACCTTATCTATGTACAAAAGATAGACAATGCATTAGGTAAGAACTGTAAATATGTTTCTTATTCTAACCAGTAGTTTGTTGATTTGTGTTATAGTCTGCCAAGGCTGGGTATCGAATCCACCTGCTGTGAGTGTTTTGGAAGTGGAATGGAGATGTTTTACAGTGAATTGTTGTAATTACCTTCTAAGTAACCTTTTTGTTGTTTTATTTCAATAGCAAAACCTTTCAAAGCTAAACAGAAAATATTGCCTTTTCTTTACCATCAGAGCAGAAGATTGGCAGTGATATCTCCTGGCTCTCATTTCAGTCTTGCTGTGTAGCCTTGGATAAAGTCACTTAAGGTTTTCTTTTTTCAGTGCATCCTATTGGCAATCTGAAATATGGAGCTTCAAGTCGTTGTGTCTTTTTTTTTTTTTTCTTTTTATTTATGTTCTTAGCTGGTTCATGTAAGTTCAACAAGAGTAAAACTTGCCTGGTTTTCTTGAAGGATTGAACACTCAATTAGAGTTTAACCAGTACTTTTGATGCTTTCTAAAAATATAAACAGTCAGTCTTTTTTCTTGCTATTGTAACAGATGGAATTAACGTTCTGTTTTTCTCCTTGTGCCCCCTTCTCCATAAACTCCGTCTAGTGACAACCTACGTGTCTTTTTCCACAGATGTCATCTGGGTGATCCTCAGCGTGGAAGTTGGAGGACTTCTAGGTGTAACACAGCAGCTGTCATCCTTTGAAACAGAGTTCAACACGCAACCGCATCGCAAGGTAGAAGGAAACTTTAACCCCTTTGCCTCACCGCAGAAGAACAGGCAACCAGATGAAAACAACCTAAAAGACCCTGGGGGTTCTGAGCTAGGCACGATCAGCAAAAACACATGGGGGCCTGCTCCTGACCAAATCGAACAAGATCAGAATGGACTGTCACAAAACTCTGTAAATCTCTCCCCCAGCAGTCACTCGAACAACTTGTCAGTAGTGACATACAGTAAGGTAGGTGCCCTGGGAGAACAGGAGAATGGGTAGGTGATGAAACTGTGATGTATGTAATAGTTCTTCGCTAAAACTGCAAAGCCCTTCCCTTCTGCTTCTGCCAGACCTGCTAAGGAAGGTTTTGAATTTGACTGTCTGACTCTGCCAACTCCTCATGTTATATTAAAATTTTTTTGTCTCTGATAGACTCTACCAGATCCACCTTTTTGTTTTTGCTTCAATTCCTTCTTAAAATTTATATAATCTTGTCTGGGTGCTGTAAGTATTAGTGGCTGGAGCCTGCTCCAGTTGCGTGTGCAAATAAGTCAAAATATCTCTCTAGATGTGCTCCCGAGTTTTATGTAATTTTGAAAAGAGGAAAAAATAACCACACCCCCAAAACCTAAGATTAACCAGAGAACTTCTTTTTAGCCTGTGTGGGGAGACTACAGAGCTCAGCCTTTTGATCCTAGAAGCTACCTGTCAGGAACAGTCAGTCAAAGGACTGTTCCTGTCTGTGTCCTTGTCTTGTTTATAATTGTAGGTGACTTTTAAATTATCTTTACTTCAAATCTCTCTCAAAAGCTTGGCTTGGTGGATGCTATAATGAGTCTGAGTGATATTTTGACTGTTTTTATTTGCTTGTGTGTGAAAAATGAATTGCAGGATTATTTACAATTCAGAATCCACCTGTTAATGCAGCCAGTATGTGTAGGTGTGTACTGTCATAATGTCAAACTAGTTTGATTTTTAAAATCCTTTGAAAATGCTTTACTGTACTTTAAGCAGGCTGTGTAGGACAATAACACTTGGTTGCTGATTGACTTAATAAAGCCCTACTGTTAGTTCACCTACAGCACTTTAGTTCCTAACTGGATGACCTGCCTGTCCTCTACCAGTGGATCATATTTTAGTGTCCTACCTTGCACCAGGGCTATGCATTTTTTTTACTGATGGCATGCACGGGATTAACTGTTTGACAGCCTACCAATCACCCTTTTTGTGTTTTGCACCCCAAACATCAGTTGTTACAAGCTGTATTGGTTCCTGCTTCAAGATTCTCGCTCACTAAAAGTGAAATGGATGGCTTAGGAAATAAGTAAAAATAAAGCCTTTCACCTTTCATCACTTCAACTACAGCCTGAATTAGCAGTGATGGGAAGTCTCTGCCTTTTAGTGGTTGCTTGATGGATAGTGGTGTTCCCTGAAGAGACAGACCCTTGTCTGGCTGCAGGGGCCATCTGTATACGGGTACAGCTTCTCTGCATAAACTTTATCTCAGGTGCTTCAGGTGGGGAGCACTGCAGTGCGGCTGGCTGTTGTGCGTATCCCAGCAAAGGCTAGGAACAGCTCTGCGGAGCAGCTGATGAAAAATAAAAATCAGTTACTAAGTGCAGCTTTGGTGAGATAATGGACTTCCCTAAGCCTTTCGTAGCTAAAATACTAGGTTTAATTTAGGTGGGAAAACTCAGTTCCGCTTTTGGTGGTCAGCTTTAGGCAGGGGTGGCTTTTATTTTTTTCCCCCCCTTGCCTTTTTTCTGAGTGCAGAGCTTGGCAATTGCTTCGTAGTTGATTTGCCCTTGCAAGTGGGTAGATGTGGAACTGCTAATATCTGCACTTCTGAGGAAGTTCCCGTGTAGAAATTCTGGGTGGGGGGTTTGGCAGTAAAGTGGCCTTCAGTTTTCTCTAGGTCTCTCCTTACCCTTCCTAGTGAGAGGAGAGTGGGGTGGGCACCAGGAGGTAAAGTGTACCAACAGACTCTCGCGGCCAAGGAGTAGATGCTTTCTTTGTCTTTTCTATGGAAGAACGTAGGTGTAAGAAACTGATACCTCTTGGAGGTACAGAGAACATCACAAGTCAGCTGTACTGTGGAAAAGAAAAGCCAAAAAGGAGAGTGAAGCACTACCAGAGAGGATTTCACTACATTTAAGTAAGCTTGTTTAGCTAGTAACCCAAAGTTCACAATCAGTACTCTTATGAGATGTGAGCCATTATAATCTAACCTCAGAGGTAGGGTAGGTAGCCTTTCTCCCTTTGTTTTGTTTTGGGGTTTTTGTTTCTTTTTTTATTAACAGAATATTCTTGGGTGGATTTGAGGTAGATCATATGAGATAAAAGCAGCAATTTTGTTTCTTGCTTGCTTCAGAAGGGATATCTATCATTCTTTTTGGAGGTGGGGTGGAGTAGGTTGAAAGGTAATTGATTTTTTGAGGGTTTTTATCTCTATGTGGCATTTCTATTTGTGATATCATAAAACAAGTTAGCTTTTCCTTTGGAGACCGTTATTAAGGTAGGTCTGAAGATCAGAGCCCTGTGCCAGCCTTGCCCTCCCTGTCCTGGGCAGGAGGTATTCTGCCACAGACGATATACACGTTGGTACAACACTGTTTCTGTAGTGAACACGTTGGAGTAGGTTTGACATCCTAGATACTTGGTCTCGCTTGAAACCGCCAAGTGAACGTGCTCACCTTCTCTGGTGTAGGTCCAGCGCTATTGCTTCTCTCCCCCCGCTGGGGCTGCTGCTTGAGTGGAAAAGGGCTTGTTGGCAGTGATGGCAGAAGTGTTAACCCACCCGATGAGCAGATGGTATTCCCGTACCTGCAAGGAAAAGCTGTATCTGGCCCATCTTCCCCCCTTCCCCGGGGACTTGACCTGTCCTCTGCTGCTTGAGAGAGGGAGAGAAAACTGCTGCCTTTGGAGCTGTTCTCTTGTGATTGAATATTGATGTGAAAGGCTTTATTTCAAGCTCTAGGAGCTGACAAGGAGTACTGTGGGCTGGTTATGTACTTGCACATTAGGATTCCTGGATATTATTCATCTTGCGTAGCACCTCTGATGTTGTCTGCTTTCATGTACCGGGAGAATGGAGTGAATCCCTGGTTGTGTTTGACACACCATTTGGGTGAGATACAGCGAAGGGATGGGTCAGGTCTGGTTAAGGTGTTCAGAAGGGCGAGTGCTCCATATTTAGAAGTAATGTAAACCCCTAAATATTTCTCAGGTCATTGTGGAGGCTTCCTCTCTGCCAAGAGATCATGGAGAATCCCCAGCCATGCAGTTGCATGAGACCATGAAGCCTTCGAGATAAAACTAGCAGTTTCTGGCATCGACAGCTGTAAAACACACTAGAAGTTGCCAGACCTTGTCGGTGTTATTTGTCCGTCTGCTGCAGCTGAGCAGGTGTGACTTGTCTTCTAGAATTCCCCATTGGAGTCTGGATCTCCGTGACACTGGTGTGCCATCTGCTGCTGGATTAGACAAGTATATCAATGTTTCACATGTGGAAACATTCAAAATGCTTTTATACAGCAGCATAGAGTACAGGGTTCAGATGCTCTGCTCAGTGAAGCAAGCTTTCCTAGGAAAAAACAAAAACAAAACAAGATGCTGAATTCCCTCTAAGCAGATAAGATGACACATGGTTGAAACAAACAGTGTGCTCTTATGTACGCCTTCCCTGGGTCCGCCCTGCTCACCGTATCAAACAAACTTTTGGAAGGTGGTTGTAGATCAGGGTCAGTGTTCAGAACATTGCTTTAAGCATGTTGTTGCTATATCTGTTCCCAGTGGAGCTTTTGCATGTTCTTAGAATTCAAGGTGTGCTTAAGTGCAGTATAGGATGCTGATCTCAGGATAGGGATGAGCTGTAATAGAGCCCAGATATACCCATGCATGGGTATTTTATTCTCCTCTTTGGCAATCGCTTTCTCTCTGTATTCTCGAGAGAGACAAGGCTAATATAGCTTCCTTCTATTTACTCGCTCCTGTCTCATAGCAACACTGTCGAGGTCACTGCTGCTCTCTTGTGACAGTCTTTTACATTAAAAGTGCAAGATGCAGTCTTACAGTGCCGGGGAATTAGAGTTACATTTCTTAACTAAGGAAAAAAAGTACAGGTTTAAATGTCTGAAAAGATGTGAAGTGGATAGCCATATACTGACATTCAGATTGTACTTGTCACCTATATATAAAAAAATAGATATCTAAATCTGTCGCCCATGTAGATTGAGGAATTGCTGCTTTCTCTCTAATGCAGAAAACTGCATGTAGAAGTTCTGATTCTGCAAAGATTTGCCTGTACAGGACAATTTGCATCGTCACCGCCATAGCAAAGGGCATTCTGCAGTGTGTCTGGTGTCAATCTGTTGTTTGTTACTCGTGCAACTCTTAAAAGCCCAGTGGAATATAACCATACTTGGAGTTCACAGAATTAAAATCTTAACACCTTTTTTCCTGCTGTATTTATGCTCTCCGTCTTCCTTCATTCCGTGTGGAGCTGAACTCTGATCCATGCTGCTTGACAGCTTTCTACATGTAAGGGGAAACCAAACCTCTCTGTCCTTAGAGTCTTTAACTGGCTTCCCCTCTCCAAGTTTAAAGGTTGCTGCTGCTTCTAGATGCGTGCTTCTTTCAAACCAGGGCACTCCAATTTGCATATTTTTGGAGTACCGCTAAACTTTAAACAAGTTTTTTTCACTGGAAATTATTTGGGTACCAAACTGTATTTGTGAGCAGGGAAGATGCCCCAGAAATGTTTGTTTCCACGTAGAAGAGAAGCTCCTTCCATCCCGGTATTTGGGCTTCAAACTCCGTTGGTTACCACGTGGTTAAATTCATTTAGAACAAAATGGGAGAACATTGGACTCAAAACTACCGGAGCTACTCTGTGACAGCCATGCTGCTGCGTAGCATCTAAACTGGTATTGCATGAGCTGGTTTGCTGATCTGGTGAAAGGCTGATGTGTTTGGATGCTGCATGTTAGCTCATCCATGAAACCCGACAGTCCACGTGCTTCTGGGCTGTGGGAAATGGGAGATAATCTGATTTTAGCTTAACTTTGCTCCCTTGCAGGCCAACAGAGTTTTCCCCTGTTCTTTTATCTCTGCAGACTAAAAGCACTCCATTGATTAAGTTACAAGAGCTAAGTTGTTGCATGGTAACTTAATCCTGTACGTGAACCCTCACGTACTCCATCGGCTGCGTGCACCTAAACCAGCCCTAGGAGTGGCTGCGCTGGGAGAAGGTTCTGAACTTCCTGGTGGTCTTAACTGCCGCGCCATGTTTGCACAGCATGCACGGAATAATAATAAAAAAAAAAAGTGCTCAATACTTTGTTGTTCTGTTTGTGTTCAGTTTGCGTAAGTTAGTCAAAAGAACTCTGCGTAGTTTGGAGAAGCACTGACTAGGAGCTGCCCAGGAGGTGAGGAGGGAACGGGGACTTGTCGCGCTGTCTGATGCTCCTGCGCTGGGAGACTCCTGTATCGCTCTGCAGCTGTGCGTCAGAACCTCCTGTCTCTCGGGAAGTGTACCTTTTACTGATCTTGACTCAGTCCCAAAGGTGAAATAAAGATAGCTATTTGAAAGCCTGTGTTGTGATGGTTTATGAAAGATTAACTTCATTTTATTTCTAGCACAGGTGCGTTCGTGTAAAGAGCTCAGTATTTACAAAGGGCTTTAACTTTCCAAAAGGTCTCAATTTCCTTCTAGAGACAGAAGACAAATGATAATTTATAACAGTAATTTTCATGTAGAGTCTTTTCTTGAAAAAACATGGTCCTGTGTTCTCACATATTTTTCTGTATGAATAGCCAGCATGTTAGCAATTACTTCTGTGGAAGATACTGGAAGAACTGAAAGTAAATTTGCAAAGCTGCAGCTGAGCTTTTCATAAAGACAGCGGTCTCATTTTGAGAATGGAAGGGAATTCACCAAAAATAGCATGAATGATTCTTCAGTGGAAATAATTCGGAAAAACTGCAATTGTATACAGAGTTATTTTTGCATGTTTATGATGTAAAATGTTGCATCCAAGGGATGATTATTCTTGAAAATGTCATATAACGGCGTTTGGTATTTGCGTTGCAGCAGTAACTGAGGCTTTTGGGTATCAAGACACGCTGTGCATGTTGAATAAAAGTAATGACAAAATTGCTCTTCAGAGAGCTTGGATCTTACTGGGGAAGAAGAAAAAGTATTCTCCTTTCACAAAGGGGAGTGAGAGTTTCTTGCACAGGGTGTGATGTTAAACCCAGTCTACACTTGATCTTAAAAAAGAAACAAGCGGTTTTTAATTTTTTAAGTTCTCATGTACACTGAAATAAATCTCACGGGTAAGTGAAACGCAGTGAAGAGTGGCAAGGCTGTAAGCACAGATTTGGGGACTTGTATTCTTGGTGAAATTTGTTGCATGAGGAGAAGCTAACCTTGGGCACAGATTCTGGGGCTGCTCGGGGAGTTGCTCGTGAGAGCAGCTCGTCTGGAGATGTCCGTCTGTTAGGTGCAGTGTCGCAAGTGTATATTTAGTAATCTGACACTGAAGGTGAGCTAAATTCTGGTTTAATTAACACATGATTAGCATAATTGTGTAGCTTTAAATTAGATGCTGCAGAACACAGTAGCTGAATATCCAGAGGGTTTCCCTGCAAACGAGGTTAAGAGCCTCTTCCCAGGGTCTCTCTCTGCATACAGAAAGGCTGATGAACTCCTCTCATGTGTGATTTGAGCCGAGGACTCTGGACCATGTACTGGTTAACTGTGTTAATTCTTTTATGTCGTGGGGTGATGCAGATGTCTTTGCGTATGGTGTGCACAATTAATCAAGGTTCTGCCTGTGGCATAGGCTGTAAAGCACCCGAGCAGAGCGGGGCTGGCTCTGCTGGGCAGCCGTCGCTCCCGGCAGAGGGAGCAGGCAGCTGGCAGCAGCTGGGCTTTAAACCACCCTCCTGAGGCTCGTGAGGGCTTCCCAGGCAGTGTCTGCAAACAGAGCTCTGTGTGCAGGTAACGGAAAGATCGAGTAGATTCTGGTAAATGGGTCTGTACAGGTAATCGGCAGCAAATCCTGTTTTTTCTTCTGTAGAGCAGTGAGTACAATAGCTTCACCGCTGTGTTAGGATCTTGCTCATAATCTTCTTTTCCTTCTGTGTCCTTCAGGGTTTTTTCTGCACCTGTTCACATTATTTTAATGTTTCTCTTCTGCTCTTCCCCCTGTTTCAGTGCCTATACTTTTCAGAAATCTTGAATGTCTCAGTCTCTTGATTTTGATGGGAGCTTCTCCTTTCCGAGGTGAACTGTTGTGCTGGAATCCCCTGGGTGTTGAAAAGCTTGCTTTACCAACTGGGAGTGCAGCGTACTGCTAGGGCAGAAGCCTGTTTGTTTTTCCATCGCTTGCATGTATTTCTGTCTGCAAACAGCAATTTCCAAGTCTCCATACTTCCTACGCAATTCTGAGATGTCCTGTTTAACTGTCTGCTCATCCTCCTCTCTTGGCTGAATTTTGAGAGCTGCTGAGATGCTTCGTTTTGCCATTGTCTTGTGGTTTGCCATCCTAAAAAATTAACTTTTTCTCACCAGTTGTAGCAAGATGACAGGCTTCTGATAGTGCTTCCTTTATAACGTAGATACACAACAGAGCTCCTGAACTTGGGTTTTGTGTCTGGGCTTAAGCTGATGGAGCGGGTGCTTCATAGGAGTCACGTTAAAGACTCGTGGCCGTGTGGCTTGTGCAGCGAGGTGGTTATAGAGTTGCAGGAGAAAATGCAGGAAACAGTGTTTCCTTTGAGATTTGCCCCATTGGAGGCAAAATGATGAAAACTGAAGTCAGAGCTTCACTTAAAGACTGAGAATGGCTTTGTGCTAATTGGGCTCTTGGCTGCCTGACTCATCAGCATGCGAGAAAGAAACTGGACTGCGTCTAAAAATCATTTGCATAATGATCTTCCAACTTTGACAATGAAATATAACCAGCTTTTCTCTCTTGTCTCGCTTCTGACCCGAGTATGTGTCTGGATATTACAGGAGGATTTTGTGTGGTTTGTATCGTCGTCATTATGACAAATTTTGATTTTCAGTGACTTGAGAGATCTCTTGCCAGAGTGTTCGTCGCTTTCTTTTGCTTCCTGGGGAAACCCTGGGTAGTTGATTGAACATCAGAAATTACAGGAGTTCCTGTTAATTGGAGACCTGTTGCTAGAGCTGTCATTTAGGCATCTCATTTCAGGATGTCAGGGAGGGAAAATGGGTTCTGTAGTAAGCAGTTGGATTTTCTGGTTAAATGTCGTGGTTGATTTTTCACTTGAAGACGTGTGTTGCTATCTTGAGAGAGCAAAAGTGGCAGCGGTGGGAGCATGGCTTTCCAAATCCTTTTTCGTTTCTTAAACTCTTCTACCAGTTACAGCCTCTTACTTAACTCTGTGCTGTAATCTTTAGAATAGACTTGCTGTTGCTTGGCCTCGCAGGTGTCGTAGCATCTATGGGGGATTTTTGCTCTGGTGTAGAAAATAACCACAAGTCCCTTTGTGGCCCCGTAACACCTGGCTGTTACCTGGCCTAAATAGCGCCTGAAAGAGGTAAGTAGATAGCATCTGAGATCTCTGGGGAAACCAAAACCTGCATTGTAAGAGAGTTTCTTTGATAAGGCTGGACGTAGGGTGATACTGGAGGGTGAAGGGTTGCGTTTGGTTTCGAAGTACTGGGATGGGATGGTCAGTGTTTGTAGGCATACACTGATCATTTTTATTTCTTGCCTATTGAAATTGATTATGTCTCCAACTTTCTTTCAGGGTTTCCACGGTCCTTATCCCTTCGGACAGTCTTAAAACACAAAAACACAGAACAGGTATCGACAAGAGGAGAATTTAACAAAGAACTGACTCTTGGGGGAAGGGAGGGGAATTCATGTGGCAGACAGACACAACGTGGACCCCCCCTTCTCTGCCTCTGTGTTCTGGATAAAGAAGAAAAACCAAAAGCCCAGTAACTTAAGACTAGCTGTTTCCAGAGGAAAATATGAAATCTAAGTATGCATGTGTGAATGCTGGATTTCAGGAGTGTTGTTTAATGCTACGAGAAGGAAAATGTACCAACACCATGGAGTTTTTTTTTTTTAGAAATCATTCTCACACATAATTAGGTAGCTTAAAGAGAGTTTAAGAAGTGAAAATGAAAAAGCCATCTTTAAAAAAAATATTATTTTGCCTACAGAGCGGTTGTAGTTTGAGCAAATGTTTAATTTCTGTTTGTTTCTTGTTGATATTTTTTTAAAATAAGGGACAGCGTGCATTTTTATGGAACTGTCATGTTTTGCTTGCTACTGAATGGGAATTTGCTTAGCATCTTCTGGGGTTTGTGCAGTGACCTCTTTTTGTCGGACATTTTTTAATGACAGGTTGGGTCTGCACCCAGCTCTTCATTTTTAATATCTTCTGCTGGTTTTAGTTACCAACTTTTTAATCTTCTCTTATTTCTTTTTTTTTTTTTTCCTTTTGGTTTGGGTGTTGCTGTTAGTTGTCCTGCATGTTGTTAGAAACCGTGCTGAAGGACCAGGTCTCAGTATCAAAGTTGAAAAGAAAGACTCTGGGACTTCTAGGATAATGTGGAGGGCTCGTTTCGGGTTGTGTGTGATGAGTTGCAGGAACTCAGCGCCCTGGGACCGAACGCCACCGTCCCTGGGGCTCCCGTGTGCCCGTACATGAAATACACACAGATACACACCCATATTAATAAGAAACAGATTTATTCAAGTTCCAGAGCTGTCCTGTGTGGTTAGCATTTTAAAATACCTTTTTGTTAACTCTTGATGTACAGTAGCTGTGCCTAGAGCAACCAAGCAAGCATATCAGTCTTGTGCCAAGAGGAAACTCTCTCTCTGTAGCTGTGATTCACTTGGTAGTAGTTGCAAAGCTTTACAGGTCATGTCCTTTTAATTTGCATCTCCTATCTTATAGAGTATGAGTTTGAATTCATTTCTCCTGTGAGGATTAGCTTAGAGGCTAGTTGTGGTTTTGAATGCAGAGCAAGAGTTCGCATCCTCAGCTGGATTCCACTCTGTCGCCTTGTATTCGTTCGCCTTTATTGTCCTGGCGTCTGGCTTTGCTGAGGCTCTTACCTTCTAACTGGGCTCTCCAGGACTGGTACGAGAGGAGGGATCGCTCCTGTCAAGGTGCAGGTTGCTCTGATGTTCCTCTGATGTATTTTTGTCCAGCTAAGGATTAGGAAGTCCAGTGTGAGTAGAGGGAGAATGGCCTCGAGTGCTGTGCTGGATCCCTAAGTTGCCCTGTCACCACAGATCCTGGCGAGGTGAGGGGACACCATCTTATTCAGAAAGGTCAACAAGGCTGGAACAGCCCTCTGCCAAAGATACAGGAGCATGCAAAGCTCCTGATACCTTCTTCCAGACCTTTCTAGCGAAGACTTGTTCTCCTTGTTGGAGCAGAGTGCAGGCTTGCTGCATGGTGCATGGCTTTACGCTGATTGCTCTCGACTAGCAGTATTTTCCTTGGTTGGTTTTGAATGGGGGATTCATTTTCATTGCAGCTACCAAGGACTCTCTTATCTTAGTGCATACAGACAGATCTTGGGGAGGACAGTGGGAGTTCTTTATCCAGCAGAGGAAGAATTGGGCAAAATATTTTGTTTGTATTTTAGAGGCTCAGCTGTTAAAGTTCTCTGTTATCTGAAATCTTCCTTCAAAAATCTGCTTGCTGGGAAAAGAATAAGAAACTTATCTGCATAAAAGAGGCCCTGCAGGATTTGGACTGCTGGCTGTTGGCACTTGCAGTTTGGTGAGTGCCTGGGTCTGTCTTGGCAGCTTGTAGAGCTGAGCGAGCGTTAAGATCCCGAGTGAACCCCTGGAAGGTGGTGCTGCACCGCTCATGCAGCTGCAGTGTTTGGTTCTTGTAACATCCTTCTGCCTTGGATCAGTTGTCTCCTCTTAGCATCCAGTCTAGGGAATGATTCGCATCGCTGTAGCATAGCATGGGCAAGTGGATTCTTTCTTGGCTCCCTCCTTTCCGAGAAGGTGGCTTGTACGACACGCTCTGACCATCACAGCTCTTACAACGCTGCCACTTCCCTTCCAGCGGCATCCGTGACGCTGGAGACTGTCCAGGTGACAAGGTGATTCCTTATCTTCATTAGCTCCTTTTATCACCTGTGCAGTGGAAAGGGGGGAGAAAATGAAGATCTGAGTCTGTATGTTCTAGCTGGTGCTGCAACCTTTGCCTTGTGTCAGCTGAGGCATCTGGGAGACCCTTGAACTTGGATACCCCTATGCTGGCTTTCTGCTCCCAGCCGTCGCTCCTCCCGTATGTAATGCTGCCGTACTCGTGTTCCTGTGCTCCTCCTAAGACTGAATTTTCCTTTTTCTTGAGAAAAAAAAAAAAAACAAACTTGCATGCACCCCGAGTACTCGTGTGCTTTCCCACTCAGAAGGCACTACTCGTTCTGCACAGCCCTGAATTCTCTTCGAGTGTTTTCGGTCCGTGGTGTCCTTGTCACGAGGGTCGCTGACTCCAGGCTGTGAAGAAGGGCAGGGCCAGGTCCGAATTGCTGCTGAAATTGCAACCTCGTGCTGCTCCCATCACCCAGGTATTTGACTGTGAGTGCTCTCGTCTGCGGGAATGATCTCTGCAAAGGATCGTGCAGAGCTCTGGAGGCTTTGAGGGTTGGGGTTGTAACCCTGGCTGTGGCAGGAGGAACGTTTAAATTAGTGGTTGCTCTACCTCTGGGTTTTTCCTCCAGTAACAACTGTTTTGCTGAGGCCAAAGGTGGTTTTATCTCCTCTGGTTCCTCGGAGCTTAGTGGTGCAGCCAGCCCTCAAATTGCTCTTGCTGTCAGGTTTGCAGCTTCTAAATAGGGGATGTGAGATGTGTTCAGCAAAGGTCCTTCCCGGTGACTCCAGGGCTGCGATCGTGTTGGTTTCCGTAGGGCTGGTGCATTCAGACTTGGGGAGTCTTAACATCAGATCCGTGAAGCAAACAGCCTGATTTTTCCCAAGTGCTGAATGCCAACTGTTTCGGTGACCCCGAAGTGCGGTGGCTTGGATAGCCTGAGCCAGGTGAGTTACGCACGCAGGACTCAGGAAACGGGAGGAAATCATTATGGGATTGAGACTGGTGAACCAGTAAAGAGACTGTTACCCCAGTGAGGCCGGTGTTCCTGACTGGGGGAGCGCTGGGGCTGGTACCCACTCGTACGGGAGGGTGCAGCGACAGAGGGGCTGCAACTGGCTCCAGTCTGATTAAGGAGGGGGGAGAGAGAGACCTTCCTTACCCCACCACCCCTTCAAAAAAAAAAATAAAATAGTGAAGAACATCTCTGATGGTCTCTAAAATGTGTCCAGCATGAGCCATGAAGGATGTGGACCCACATCGCAAATACAACCTGAGCAACAGCAGCCAGGCACCTGCTCCCAACCAGGGCAAACTGGAGCACTGTGTCCCTAGGACTGGCCCAAAACCAGCAATGCCACACAAGGGACTGGGGGGAGCTGGACTCTGCTGCCCACATCGCAGGAGTGTTGGATCCGGAGCCCTCCAAGGTTTGGGAAATGCGGCTCCCCCACCGAGGGGCCAAGCCGGGCGGTCAGAAAGCGCGTGGGCGCGAGAGCAGCTGGAGTCTGCAGGGTTAGGAAATGCACGCTGTCCCACGTCTGGGTTTCTGTTGTGTGTTTTAATTTTTTTTTTGTGTGTGAGTGTGTGGGTGGTTCTGCAGCCTGTCTGTTCTCTCCGGGAGGAGTGCATGTGTAGAACAGGATGGTGTGTTGCCTCATTGAGTCTGGGAGAAGTCCTATGATAGCACATTGGGGGTAAAAATAAAGGAAGCTTTTTCCTTAATGTATAAATGAATATTTGTATGATTAAATTAACACAGAAAAAAAAAAAGTTCTCTAGCTGTTGAGAGTTTTATTGAAGCTGCAAAAACTTCTGAATCTCACCTTGTAGTTAAACCTACCCAGCTGGTTTCCGTCTCCAGGCTGTTTCCAGACACCAAGGCACAGATCCTCAAACCCAGTTCTACCCTGCCTTTATCCCAAGTCGCTTTAAAAACCAACCAAACAAATGCAGCACATATTATCAAACCACCTTTCCAGCCCAGCCGGCCGGGACCTGGTGACTGTTGTTGGCAGTGGATGTCCTGGCTGGGGGACAGAGGTGAGCGTGGGCTCAGCGTGGTGCTGCCGGCACCTTCCACTGAAACTGGGATTGACGCAGGAGGGGAGGTGGCACCGAGAGGTGTGGGTGTGAGGAGGAGTGGAAGTCTGCTTTCAGGGATTTTTTTGTATGGAGGTCACCAGCACGAAGCAGCGCTGCAGCCGGGTCCGTCAGTGCTCCCAGCAGGGTTTATTTGCATCCCCACGCCTTGGTGCGGTGATGCTCCAGGCTTCAAACAGCAACAGATCAGAGCTGCTGCTCCTTGAGTCTCCTCGTGAGGCAGGAGAGGAATTTTGAATGAAGGAATTTTGCTCTTTTTTCTTACTAAGGCAATATCTGGTGTTCCCGTAGATCAGGATGAGGGCGTGTGAAGGTTTCTGCTTTGGTGAGCACTTGGACAGTCATCTGGGGCTGATCCTGTTTCCCAGGCACGATCTTACCGCCCAGGGCACCCAGCCCAAAGGTTTGCCTATATAAACTATATTGTGAGCGGCTTAGTTGAAGCCATTCTTCTGCTTACATGTGACTTTGTCATTAATCCTTGCAAGAAGCCTTAATATGTGTGCGCTGGGTTTGCTTTTTAACATTTGAATAAATGCCTGGAGCTTTCGTGTGCTGTTTAAGCTTGACTGGGAACAGACATCCTGCTACCTGCGCCTTCGGGTATTTATTCTGTGCCTTGCAAAGAATGCACCCCTTGAGCTCTGGGTGCTCACGGCTGGTTTGGAGGCTGATCTGTTTGGGTAGCTTGGGATCGCCTCCCTTTCTCCCTGCCCAACTTTTCATTTACTCGTTATTTGCTTGAAAGAATCTGTTTGTCTTTAGGGTTGCAACCTGGCGGAGTTTGCCAGCGCAGAACAATACCATCACACTTTCTAACACTATCTCCCGAGCGGGCAAATAACTCGAGGGATTGCTATAACGGAGGTCATCCTGCCGCCGCCTCGTTCCCGGCGGGGAGGCTGGGTGTGGGGCAGGGTGGCGACGGCCGCTGCAGCCACCGATGAATTACTTGGGTTCGCTTTTTCTGCGTTGGTTTTTTTTTTTTTTTTAGGGGAACCAGATCCTCATCCATTAAAAGTTATACCAATAATTCTGGGTTTTAGCAGCTTTTTTTGGTCCCCGAAGGGATGCTGGAGTAGCCAGGAGGATGCTCTCTGCTGGGTGGGTTGCATGTGATGAGTTGCA